AGACTTGATGTCAACCTCGTCAGAACGCAAGATGTATCTACTGCAATTGTTGTACAAACTTGTATGATACCCAAAGCTTGTTACACAGTTCCTTGTCTGAGAATAAGTGAATAGTGTTATAATTCAGATTGCTATTCTGCAAGCGAATAATGATACAGGGTCACCATCTCGATCGCAAAGAAACCTGAGCCAAGATGGATAAAAGCTGAATCAACAAAACCAGTCATATGAAACCAGTTAAAAAAAAAACCTTGCTGCAATATACAGAAATAAATAAAACACCACCCCTTCTGCTTTTTAAAATCAGGGTTGGCCTCAGTCAAGAACATGCAGTACGCTTGTCTCTTTGGCAGTATGCCCTACACCAGAAGTAGCAGAATTTCTCCAAAATCCCCTCCTCCCAGCTAAGAGCTGGCAAGGAACACAACACTGATTGCTGAATCTGAGGGCTGGTTGACAACCCTCCCTGCTCAGCGTGGTTCAGAGCCCTGCAGTAGCCGTTCTAAGATTAGCAAACTGTTCCCTAAGACCACGTGTCCTTGTGATCTCTTCTCCTGACACGGTGAGCGCTCCTCTCTGGGTCCGCTGGTACAAAGCAGCTCAAATCAGTGGTGTTCAATGGCATGCCCTACGACACACCTCGGCTCAGATGGAGCTCAACATCTCACATCTGTAATGGCAGTGGGACGTTGAGCTGGCACTGCGCTCGCCGCGTGCTGCCTCAGGTAGATCTCTGTGCTCTCTACATTTTTGCTGATTCTGTAGCACTAGTAAATGTCAAATAGTCACTGGCAATCTTTGCTTAGCATTTGTTGAAAAAAATGTGCCGCTTGCCATTGTGCTTACACCTGTGCTTTCTGCTGCTCTTCTTTGTCATGCTGCACCACAGAAGTCACCATCTGAGGCCTATTGCTAGGCAGAGCTGCGTTGTTCTTTGGGGTGGGTCCATAAGAACCACCACTTGGTGGGTGAACACTTTCATCCTTCAAGAACCAGAACAGCCAGCTGAGTACATTATTCAACACCTTAAGTTTCAAGCGTTGCACTAGCCTGTAGCCATGGCTTAACAGCGCCTGCCTCCCCCTTTCCGCAGAGCAAGTCTTGGGTCTAGGAGGCTAGGACTGATTGGTGGGACTATGCAGCATAAATTACATGGTGTTTTACAGTTGGCATCATTGGCAGTGAATCCAGAAGCCACATCTGAGACCATCTGCTAGGACCTGGTAATTGTCTTTCAGCACCAGCTACCTTCCCCATCCTCTAGGGTTTCACAATTGTTAAGAGAAGGAGCAACATGACCTTCTAGAGACTTGAAATCCGCAATATACCTTATCAATCAACAGTCAGAGTAGGGTAAATTCACCACAGGGACTTTTCCTAGTAGACATTTCTGGCCTGTGGATGAAGAAATTCAGATGTCCACATGCTGCACTGTCCTGGTTTTCAGCTGGGATAGAGTTAATTTTCACACAAATCTGGAAGGACACAGCCAGGACAGGTGACTCAAACTAGCCAAAGGGGTATTCCATACCATATGATGTCATGCTCAGTATACAAGGGGGGAGCTGCTCGGGGACGGGCTGGGCATCTGGGCATTGGGTTCCAGGTGGTGAGCAAATTGCATTGTGTGTCACCCACTGTGTATATTCTGTTTTAAGTACTGTTGTTGTTATTTTCCTCTCCCTTTGCTGTCCCAATAAACTGTCCTTATCCCAACCCACAAGTTTTACCTTTTTCTTCCAATTCTCCTCCCCATCCCACTGCATGGGGGGGGGGGTGTGGAGGAGTGGCCACGTGGTGCTTAGCTGCCAGCTGGGGCTAAACCATGATACACACTCTGTAGGAAAACACTGATTATTATACTATGATTATGTGAGCAGGACGGACTAGTCTTATGTTGCAGGCTATTGCAAACTACAGTGGGAGAATCACAGGTGGCATAATAAATTAGAGTTTGCATTCATACTTCCTATATTTTCCACAACCTATTTTTTCCAGTGAGAAAAGTAATTTTCCAGAATATATCAAATTTCAGAATCAGATTTTCAACCTGCCTCAGGTGTAATGCCATGTGCAGCCTGTTATTTAGGTAGTATTGTCTTACCCAACCAACCAAGAAGCACATGCACACTTCCATCATGCCCAGAAGTCCTGAAGGGTTAACGAGGGGCGTACATTTGGCTGGCCAGGTGGATGCTGGAGGAGCCTTCCACTGAGCATGACCATGCAGCTGCCACTGCCAGAGATGTGGGGCAGCTTGGCATGGCAGGGCACAGACAGGGAATCGTACTGAAGCTGTAACTGGCATTGCGTGTGTTTGTATGGGCCGCTTTGGGCTTCTTAACCTTGAAGCAACATTACTTGGTGTGATAGCCCATCTGCCAGAAATCCCTCCCAGAACAGTGATCTGAGCCTGGATCACCTTCACACATGCAGCAGTATGTGTCTGGGGCTGTCCTGGTTTTGGCTGAGACAGAGTTATCTTTCTAGTAGCTGGTATAGTGCTGTGGTTTTGATTTAGCCTGAGAATAATGTTGATCGCACACTGATGTTTTTTGTTGTTGCTAGGTAGTTGTAGTGTCTACACTAAGTCAAGGACTTTTCAGCTTCCCATGCCCTGCCAGGTGCCCAGGAAGCTGGGAGAGCACAGCCAGGACAGCTGACCCAGACTGGCCAAAGGGATATTCCCTGCCATAGAGCATCATGCTCCCTATAGAACTGGGGAAGCGAGGTGGGGGGCAGATTTGCTGCTCGGAAACAGACTAGGCATCAGGTTGTGGGGTTTTTTTTCTTACTGTTGTGGTGAGCAATTGCATTTGTGCATCACTTTATTATTGTTATTATTATTATTGTTGTTGTTACTATTGTTGTTGTTGTTATTTATTCTCTTCCTTTGTTATCCTATTAAGCTGTCTTTATCTCAACCCATGAGATTTTTTTCATTCTCCTCCCCATCCCCTTGGGGGTAAGGGGTGAGCCAGAAGCTACATGGCACTTAGCTGCCAGCTGGGGCAAGACCATGACAGGGGCTCATCTCCTCTGGTCTCAAGAGAGCTCCATGGTGGTCCAGCACCAGCTTTTATTTTGTATATTTAAAAACTGCCAAAATAAAACTACCCTGGAGGCCAAATGATAAAAGGGCTTCTCTGCCTGACCTGTGTTCTGCCACCATGCAGCTACAGCTGTCTTGTGCAGAGTCGTGCATGATGTGGCAGCAAGTAGGATGGTCTGAGGGCAGGATTTAATGGGTGAGGTGAGAAGGCCTGCTGAGATACCCATGAGGGACCGCCTTAGGCAGAGAAGATAAGACATGTCACAGTGTGGATCCTGGAGCAAACTTCCTTCTCTTAAATGCCCAGGTTTCCTCGATGGTACTGCCAGTTGGTTTCTTGAAAACAGAGTGGGCTCACCTGTGTTCAGTGGAGACAACCAGGGTCCCACCAACAAAAGAGAGATGGAACTGAACAGGCATCTACTTGTTCATGCAGATGCAAGAAACCACATATGAGATCAGCATCAGTAGAGAGCATGCTTCCTACAGACAGGGACAGGAACACAACTTACAGAATCTTACGGGCAGCACAGATCTAAGTATGATCCATCTCAGATAATTATTAATTACAATCATTATTATACAAATTGGCTAGAATCTCTTTCTTGAGTTACAAAGCTGCAGGCAAACCTTGCCCTTGCTAATTAAAATAAGCTGTGGGAGCTGTAAGATATCAGACAGCCTTTGTCTAACTGCACACAGGCACCACAGCAGCACAGCACCTGGACAAGTGTGACTACCACACTCCACCATATGCACGATGAAGAACAGACAGCCTAAAATGTTAAACAATTAAACTCTAGCTATTAGCATAATTCTAATTGTTACCAAGAACACAATTTGCATGCCAAAGAGATGTTCATAATTGATGACTTTGTCAATCACTCTCTCACTTTGATTTTCATTTTCTGGTGTCATTCAACATTTAGAGTCAAAGGAAACTCAGAAAACCTTCTGAAATAAATGTGGATGGTGAAGAGAGGTCAGTGCACATGGCTTTCCATTCCCAAATTGCATAAAAATGCAAAGAAAATGTTTGGTGATGGGTTAGGATGGACTGTGAACTCAGTGACAGTCTAGGGAAACAGTACCAACTGTTAGGACACAGAGAACAAACCAATTTTAACTGTTTTCTAAACATTGGATGGGCTTTTAGCCACTGCTACCACAACACGTACCAAATATCCAGAGGTTGTACACAGTGGCACAATGCAGGATTACCACAATGGAGCCCTATTCTTGCTCAAGGTCTTTCAAATTCTGTAAGTTTGCAGTATTTCGAAAATTATCCAATTTTCTGTTCTTCCAGGCCTTTCAAAGTACTTCACTTACAAGCTGTAAACTGATTTTAAACTTTTGCGCCTTCAGAGAAGAAGGAAAATATAGTCATTAGAAATATACCATGAAAATATGCTCAGTACTCCAGTGTTTGGCAAAAAGTGTCCTTAAAAGGAGTTAGTTAAATGTAGATAAGCCTGTACTCTGTACATCTGAGAAATAAAGTTTGTTTATTTTCCCAAGTAAAAGCAATAGGTGAATTTCACAATATTTTGACACAGAATCAAGCTGTGGTCTCAGAATTTTGGACCTCAGTGGCTACTGCTCCAAGTTTCATTAAATTGTAAATTCAAGGGAACAAACACCTACATTATTATAAAGCCGCAGTTACAGAAACATAACTTTTCATTGTCAAAACACAAATCCAAACCGGGTCTTGTTAACAGCACATACATGTATATAGCATTGCCTAATCTTATAAAATTTGGCTGAAGAGTTGCCAGCTTTACAAGCAATAAATCATTATGATCAAATGAAAACTATAAAACAAAGTAGACATACACAGGAATGTGCATAAAAACAATCTTCCTAATTATGATATCAAAGGAACAAAAGACTGGAAAGCAAAGTTAGTTTTAAAAATCTGTATTATAATTATAGTAAGTATGATTAACTTAGTAATAACAGTAGCTTTGTATAAACACCAGGAACCACATTTACCCAGAATCCTCGTCAGAAATACACAAAACAACTTGGCAAAAAGAACAAAGGGTAACTGCACATCAGTTGTTTACCTATGAGGAGGAGGATGCAAGTGGTAGGAAAAGACACTCAAGTTTTCTTAGGTGAAGGAAGTTGGACTGGTTACATTCTGGAAAATGAAAGAAACATTCTCTTTTATCTTTTCAAGGAAAGGATCAGCTAGAGCCTGATGTTGCCCAGAGAAATGTTTCCATTGCATCAATTGTGACATGGAGAGCGGTTTCTTTGAATTAGGCTTCCCTTGGTTTTGGCCAAGCTGGCAACTTCTAGATACAGAAGACTTTTCTGAGGAAGGATCTGAAAAAAATGATGCAGTTGACTAATCAGAGAAAACTAGGACAGAAATTTCAGTCTGAATCAATAAGCCAGTTGGTGTTAACAAATGAGAGAAAATAGAACAGCATATATAATCCTTCTATGTCACTGAATCCCAAACATACATATCCACAGTAAGGAGAAAGGCTGTTTCTTGCTCATTGATTGAGTTTATCAAAATCACCATATGCTAGCATAAAGACAAAACCTTTTACACACGGATGGGAAAGGAAATATCTTATCTGGCAATTTCCTTTCTTCTGCCTTCCTAATTCTGTGACATTTGGGTTGCTCCCATTCTTTAAGTAAATCTGAATCTACAAGTATGTTGCAGCAAAATTCATGCTAGCTTCTATTTCCTCCCAGAGGAGTCATTCCAACCAGCTAAGAATAGTCTGAATAGCTATTTCATTGACTCAGCACACTAGAGCTGTGCACTCTGTATGTCCAGATTATGCCAAGTTGTTCAATATACACACTATATTGCTTAATGTATATCATAGTGAGGAAAAGACTATTGCTTGTGAAGCACAAAGAGAGGAATTCACTTTTGACAAAGGATTCTAAAGCCCCAAACAGTAGCAGGTCATTGAAAGGGTATGTCACACATTGCTGGCTTCATGATTCATCTGATGCATGTGATAAATCAAGAAATCATTTTGGATGGACGAAAATTGCATCACTACTGTTATTGGTTTCAAACCTGCCGTCAGATATTTCCATAGCAGTGTTACGTGCTCCTTAGGAAAGAGCAGTGATATGAGCAGCATGATAACTCAAGAGTAGTCTCAAGGTTTTTTTAATGTTTTGGAGAGCCCATAAAGACTCACATATGCAAGACTTTCCTTTTGACTGACATTTACACTAGACTTGAAACATATTCTTTTACTGGTCAGAAGAAAATTTAGAAGAGATGCACTTCTCAAGTCATAGAATCATAGAATACCAGGTTGGAAGGGACCTCAAAGATCATCTTGTTGAACCTTTCTTGGCAAAAGCACGGTGGTTAGCCCACTCTTGCAGCCTTTTCAGGTCTTCCTGCAGGGTGGCTCTCCCTTACAAAGCATCCACTTCCCCACTCTCTTTGGTATCATCCACAGACTTCATCAGGGTGCACTTGATCCCATCACCAGATCACTTATGAAGATACTAAACAGTGTGGGGCCCAATACCAGTCCCTGGGGGACCCCACTTGTGACAGGTTGTCAGTTTGAACAGGAGCTATTTACCACCACCCTCTGGGCATGGCCTGTTAGCCAGTTCCCCACCCACTCAGGGACCACTTGTCTAGACCGTAACTCATCAGGAGGAGGCTGTGGGGAACCATATTGGAAGCCTTGGAGAAATCCAGGTGGACAATGTCCACCACTCGCCCAACATCAACTCAGCAGGTTACTTTGTCATAGAAAGTGATAAGGTTTGTCAAGCATGATTTGCCCTTGGTGAATCTGTGCTGGCTTTTCCCAATCATGTGCTTCATTTGACTTGTGGTAGCCCCAGGAGGTTTCATTCCATAACTTTACCAAGGACTGAAGCAAGACTGAAGGGTCTATAATTTCCTGGATCCTCCTTTAAGCCTTCATGTAGATGGGGGTGACATTAGCCTTCTTCCGGTCTTCTAGGACATCCCCCGATCTCCATGACTTCTCAAAGATTATGGGACAGTGGCCTTGCAACAATGTCAGCCACCTCAGGTGGATATTGTCAGGGCCCATCAATTTGTGGGGGTCAAGCTCCTGTAATAGTTCACATACCAACTCTTCCTTCGCTGACAATGGGTCTGTGTTTGCATCAACCTGGATGTTTGTTCCCAAGGGCTGGGGCCCCTTACAGATTCTTAACTCCCTAAGTTACACCATGATCAGGTAAAAAATACGCTTACAGCTTTGTAGCTGATCTGAAAGCCGGTAGAATAGCAAGTAACCCATCTGCATGATCCATGCACAGTTAATTGTTTCATTTCAAGACCCCTGTAGTTTCCTGAAGATGGCCGTAGTGTGAATGGACAACAGGAGCTTGGTCAAGAATATCCAGTCTGAGGTGCTGGAGCGTGTCCAAAGAACAGCAGTAAAGCTGGTGAAGGGTCTAAAGAACAAGTCTTTTGAGGAGCAGCTGAGGGAATTGGGGTTGTTTAACCTGGAGAAAAGGAGGCTGAGGGGAGACCTTATCACTCTCTACAACTACCTGAAAGGACGCTGTAGCCAGATGGCTGTTGGTCTCTTCTCCCAAGTAACAAGCAATAGGACAAGAGGAAATGGTCTTAACTCGTGTCAGGGGAGGTTTAGTTTGGATATCAGGAAAAATGTCTTCACCGAAAGGGTTGTCAAGCACTGGAACAGGCTGCCCAGGGAAGTGGTGGAGTCACCATCCCTGGAGGTATTTAAAAGCCATGTAGATGGTGCTTAAGGACATGGTTTAGTGGTGGAGTTGACAGAGAGAGGTTAACGGTTGGACTTGATGATCTTAAAGGTATTTTCCAACCAAAACAATTCTGATTGATACATGAAATGGAGATCATCATGAAAAGTTCATAAATTGTGATGCCTGTATTATATTGTTTGGCTCCTCTTTAGTTTATCTTTTGAATCATACTTGCTAGAAATGGAGGAGACAAATCAGTGAAAGTCATTGGCCTTTCCTGTGCAGCAGTATCAATCCCCAGTAATTTGGAATCTGGCTCCCCAATGAAGTAATTTGACAGCTTTCTGTTCTTAGGAAAGGCAAAGAGACCAACTAAGGGTAGCTGCATTCTGGGATGATCAAAGTGACGACCATGGCTGACAACAATTTGACTTTGGGACTGGTAAGTCAGTTTTTCCTCTACTCTTTAGGAAAACAAACCTTCCCCTCACCCTATCATTTCCACCACTTAAGTCTAAGAATGACCTTCAAGTTTCTCCTTGATTTACTGCCAAAAAGGTTCTGTTCACTGGGACCAAGATATGATTACCCTTGAGAAAGTCCTGGGTACATTCACTACCCCAAGATCCAAGAGACTGATGTGGTTGAATTGATGGAACCAATACATGTTCAAATCATAAGACAGGCACTCAAGAGTGTTAAGACAATTGCATAATGCTAAATAAAATTATATGCATCAGCGTTCATCACAGTAATATTATAAAACTTCTCTGGATTTCTGCAGTCGAGGAGCTGTACCTGTTTCACTGCACACTAGTGAAAAAATCTGGCTAACATTTAATACTAAAGGTGCCTTTTCCACACTGATCCTGTAATAGTACCTAAGTGGAGGTTGGTGTATTTTTAATATCTCTTACTCATGCAAAACCAGAAGGTCTAATTTTTCAATCATTAAAGAAAAACACAAAGGCAATTAAATCAGTATGTGGAGCAAAATTAAAGGAGAATGTCAAATTCTTACGGCTACAGAAGCACTGTGCTTTCACTAACCAAGTCCTCCCCATTTTGGATAGAATGGGATGAGAAAGGAATACAACTCTAGCCTATTACCTGGAGACATGCAAACCATCAAGCTAAATAGTCGCATTGGATCTGTTGAGCACATGCATTCTTGTAGCCATTTCTTTGGCTCTTTTTATTGTGGCGTCTGTGGCATTTAGAAGATATCAGTATTGGTACCTCATTATCACATCTGTAAATACTGTATATGGACATTTCATGCCCAAAAGAAAGAAACATGCCAGGGCAATAGACACTCT